GAAAGGGGAGGTGCTGACCTGAGGCCAGTGCGCTCACCACACTAACACCCAGGCCTCCTGCCTGCCCGGCGAGCCCCCGCCTCTCTCCTCCTCCCTCGGGCGCTGCCTGCCCATCCCTGCCCGGCGCCCAGATGGGTCTCTCCCCGGGTCCCTCTCACCCGCACTCACCCCCCGGCTCCCGCTGCTTTTCTCCCCTCCTGCCTCCCCCCACGCCCGGCCAGCGGCCGCCCTGACTGACCCCGCTGTCTCTCCCGACAGTGCCCGAGGCTCCGGTCATTGACACGCAGCGCACCTTCGCCTACGACCAGATCTTCCTGTGCTGGCGGCTGCCCCCGCACTCGCCGCCCGCCTGGCACTACACCATCGAGTTCCGGCGCACGGACGTGCCTGCCCAGCCGGGCCCGGCCCACTGGCAGCGGCGGGAGGAGGTGAGGGGCACCAGCGCCCTGCTGGAGAACCCCGACACGGGCTCCGTGTACGTGCTGCGTGTGCGCGGCTGCAACAAGGCCGGCTACGGCGAGTACAGCGAGGACGTGCACCTGCACACGCCCCCGGCGCCCGGTGAGTGGGCGGAGGGGCGGGCAGGGTGCGGCGCAGGGCGCAGGGCGCAGGGCATGCCGGGACCCAGGCGCTGGCCGGCGGGGCTGGGTGAGCCCTGGAGAGGCCGTGTGGTGCAGTGGGTCACACTCACTAATGCTGGAGCTAGACTTGCTGGGTTCAGACCCCAGCTCTGCCTCTTGCCAACTGTTTGGCTTTGGCAAGTTATTCACCCTCTCCGAACCTCAAGTTCCTCTTCTGTGGGGGCATTCACAGTGCTTCCCTCAGAGGGCTGCTGTGAGGATGAATGGGGTTGACACATGTGAAGTCTTAGAGTGTCCACCTCAAGTCAGAGCTAATAATGACAGCACAACGACTGTCCAGGAGACAGGGTGGGCCTGGGACGGAGGCATCCTGGAGGAGGACCACAGTGTGGGCTGGGGTGCAGGCAGGCGCAGGCGCGGGCGGGGCTGGCTGTCAGGACCAGAGGGTGGGCCGGGGTGCAGGCAGGGGTGGGAGTGTCCCACGTGGATGGAGCAGCCGGGCGGGCTGAGAGGCAGCGCTGGGAGTCAACTGGGCCCGGGCACTGGGTTCTGGTTTCACCAGACCCTCCGGAGTCCCGTACCCACTTGGCATCTCCACTTCTCTCTCCCCCGTGCCCCTCGTGCCCGTCCGCCAGGCCCTGCTCCCAGCGCCCTTGGCAGCCCGTTCCCTGTTTCGAAACCCCCCAGCGTCGGTGCTGACGCCTCGGTCCCAGGCTGTCCCTGAAGCCCTTCCTTCCTCTGTCCCCCTCCCCCTCCAGTCCTCCACTTCTTCCTGGACGGCCGCTGGGGCTCCAGCCGCGAGAGGCTGGCCATCAGCAAGGACCAGCGGGCCGTGCGGAGCGTCCCGGGGCTGCCCCTGCTGCTGGCGGCCGAGCGGCTGCTCACCGGCTGCCACCTGAGCGTGGACGTGGTCCTGGGCGACGTGGCCGTGACCCAGGGCCGCAGCTACTGGGCCTGCGCCGTGGACCCCGCCTCCTACCTGGTCAAGGTGGGCGTCGGGCTGGAGAGCAAGCTTCAGGAGAGCTTCCAGGGCGCTGCCGACGTGATCAGCCCCAGGTCAGGCCGCTCCGGCTGGGGGGCCGGGACCCGGGTGGGGAGCTGGGGACAGGATGGGGTGGGGGACCCGGGTGGGAGCTGGGGACAGGATGGGGCCGGGACCCGGGTGGGAGCTGGGGACAGGATGGGGTGGGGGACCCGGGTGGGGAGCTGGGGACAGGATGGGGTGGGGGACCCGGGTGGGAGCTGGGGACAGGATGGGGTGGGGGACCCGGGTGGGGGACCCGGGTGGGGAGCTGGGGACAGGATAGGGGGGCAAGAGGAGCACAGGCTCGCTGGGGTGGAGCTGGAAGAGGCTTAGAAGGACACAGTAAAGTAATGGCAGCCAGGACGGGGGGAGGGGGGGGCCTTGGGGGGGGAAGTGTGGGAGGGGCCAGGGGAGGGCTCTGAGGCCTGAGCTTTGGAGGGTGTGGCTGGGGAAGGAGAGGGAAGAAGAGGGAACCACCTCCACTTCCTTCCGTCTGTCACTCAAGACTAAGAGACCCCTCTCCACGCCTCCAGCCATTCTCCCCGATATCCCGTTTCCAGCACCTTTCCCCACACACGCCTCGCTCTTGCACACCTTCCTCAGCCCTATCTTGTAACGGCCTGAACTCCTCTCCTTAAACCTCCCATCTCCAACCCTCTCACCCCCCACACCCCACCTAACACCTCCCACGCGTGCCTTCCTCCCCGACCCGCCTTCCTCCCGGACCGTCCTCCCAGCGCCCTCCCCAGGCCCCGTGTCTTCAGAACGCTCTCTGCCCACTCGCAGCTCCGTCCCCAATCCCACATCCTTCTGACATCGCTCATCGGGACACCGATCTACCCTCCTCACCCTCCCCCCATTGACCTCCCACCATCCTTCCTCTCACCCTCATTCCCCAGCTTCTCTAACCCAGAACCCTCTCCAGCGGGATGTCCCCAAACCCCCTCTTCCGCCCCTCCCACTACGTCTGCACTCCTCAGCGAGCTTTCTTGCCCAATGCCTCTCTTGCCAGCGTGATCTCCCTTCTGTGCCCCTTTTCTGCCAAACCACACCCCAGCCCTACCTTCTAATCCCCGTTGCTTCCACGTTTCTCCTCAATGTTCCTAATCCATCCTTTCAACCAACATTCCACACTTCCAGCGTCTCAGCCCCCAGGCACCCACCCCCCACTCCCCGTCCCGCCCCAGCACCCTCCAACCCAGTGCCCCCTCCTGCAGGTACGACCCCGACAGCGGCCACGACAGCGGGGCGGAGGACGCCGCGGTGGAGGCGCTGCCCCCCTTCGCCTTCCTCACCATCGGCATGGGCAAGATCCTGCTGGGCGCCGGGGCCGGCGCCGGGGCAGGGCTGACGGGGCGGGACGGCCCGGCCGCCGGCTGCACCGTGCCCCTGCCGCCCCGCCTGGGCATCTGCCTGGACTACGAGCAGGGCCGGGTCTCCTTCCTGGACGCAGTGTCCTTCCGGGGGCTCCTGGAGTGCCCGCTGGACTGCTCGGGGCCCGTGTGCCCCGCCTTCTGCTTCATCGGAGGGGGCGCCGTGCAGCTCCAGGAGCCCGTGGGCACCAAGCCGGAGAGGAAGGTCACCATCGGGGGCTTCGCCAAGCTGGACTGACGTCCCTCTGAGCCTCCCGGAGCCGGCTGATGGCTCCGGCAGCTCCTCCCTCCACTCTTCCTTCCCTGAGGTCCTGTCCTTCACCCCGTGTCTGTGTCTCCCCGGGGCCTTCTCTCCACCAAGCGACACTCCCCTGCTCACCTCCCTAGCTGGCCGCCATTTCTCCATTGCCTGTGAATCCAGACCCCATCCTGCCCGGCTCCTGCTCCGTCCTCTGCCCGGGGCATCCAACCAAGCCATGGAGAGAGCCCTCCCCCACCCCGGCCCTTCTCCCCAGCACTCAGGCCAAGTGGCAGGGAGGCTCCTGGAACCAGGGCATGACCCCTAGCTCTGCCCTCTGCCCTGCCCAGCTGCCTGCCCTGCCGATGCTGGCCGACGGCCTCGGAGCAGGCAGGCTCTCTGGCTGGCACTGCCTGGCATTCCCTGGGAGGGAAGAGGACCCTGTCCCGTGTCTATGTGGGTCCCCGTGCCCTGCAGCCGCATGCCTCGTACACCCCTCCCCCTCCTGCATGCTCTCCTTGTCCCGCACCCATGCCAATGTGCCCAGGCTCCCTTTGGGGCCACGCGGAGGCTGGATGTCCCCATTGGGTTGGACCAGACAAGACCTGGGGCCCCCTGCTGCCCGCTGCGGTAGGGACTGCTAGGCCTGTGCCAAGCAACAGCTGTCATTTTCATGGTTTCTAAACAATAAACTGTGAGGCCAGGCACTCTCTGCCTTTCCGAGCCCTGCCATTCCTCTGAGCTTCTGTGCTGGTGTGGCTGCCGGAGGGACCGGGCGCTCAGCTATTGCTCCGTCAGGGCTGCCGGATGGCTATGGCCCTAAGGTAGGGGTGTCGAACTCAATCAGAGAAGGGGCCAAAATCTAAAATCCAGCCTAAATCGCGGGCCGAATGGTTTACCGAACAGTCATAAACTGTCATTGTGATGGAAACGCAGCGGAGTGCAGTGATGACAGCGAGGTGCGGGCCACATTGCAAGGCCTGGCGGGACGGATTTGGCCCTCGGGCCTTGTGTTTGACACATGTGCCCTAAGGGAAGGAGGTCCCCAAGCCTGGCGCTCCCTAGACTCCTGCCCACACCGGTGCCCCGCCCAGGCCTGCGCCCGCCACGGCCGCCAGGGGGCGCACAGCTCCGGTGACCTCCTGTGTCCCCCAAAGAGGCATGAGACACCGCTCCCAGCCCCGGAGGGAATGTGGTTGAACTCAGAGGGGCAGGGAACCAGAACCACTTCCTCATTCCCAGGGTGCGGGTGCGGACCCCAGAGCCAGTGGGCGGATGCATGGGGGGCCGTGGCCAGGGAGGGGACCGGGCTTGGCGCCAGCCCCGGATCTAACACTTATCAGGGCCGTGTTGACCTGGTAGCTGTTATCCCGTGTTGACTTTTCAGCTGTTATCGCTGCCTGAGGATTTACTTCACACCCGAGCGGCTCAGAATAGAACCGCCTGAGGGCATCCTGCCAAGGGGAGAAGAGGGTGCAGGGCTGCCGGCCCGCCAGGCTGAAACCAGGGGTGAACCATGGGTACGCAGGCCGAGGCCCGGCCACTTGGGTTTCGTTTCCTCCTTCCTCTTGTGCCGCCAGCAATGGGCAAGAGGTGACTCAAATTCTTCCACCGGCCACTCCTGACCCAAGGTCATCGCTCCGCACCCCCTGCTGCCCAAACAAACCTTGCTCCGGGCCTCCTTTCCCTCCTGCCGCCTCCCCCAGAGTCCCCTCCGGACCCCCGCACACATCCACCCGGATCGCCCCCCCTGTCTGAGGGTCACAGGTGACAGATCGGACGTGAGAGCCAGAGCGGAGGAGGCCCACGTTTTATTCTGTGTACAGGTGCCCACTCCCACTGGGGGGCTTTGGGCCAGTCCTGGAGCCGCTGCCCCAGGCGCATCCCTGGGAGCCAGGATGGGCTCCCCGGGGCTGAGCTGGGTTAGGGACGCATAGCCCCCTGGAACTCCCAGCTCACCAGTCCAGGAAAAGGGGGCGGGCCACTGCTTCCCCGAAGCTCCCAAGACCATGACGGAGGCCACTGGCCGGATGCTCAGCGGGCGACGTGCCCCTACAAGTTGGCAGAAGTGGCTGCTGGGTTCGTGTAAGACAGGCCGCTGCCGCCATTGCCTGCAGAAACCTAGGTGAGGGGGGAAGGGGTCCAGGCTGAGGGGCAGAAGCTTCCCTGGGAGAAGCTGCCACCCAAGGGCCCCCAGGCGGCCCCCCCAGGCAGGGGCAGTGGGCTGGGAGCCTGGCTGGCTCTCGAAGGGTTAATTCGGAGCTAGCACCTGCCGGCACCACCAGCAGCCAGGTGACTGTAAACAGGGCCTTTCCCCTCCCTCTGCTCCCTTGCTCTCCCTCCCCTGGTTGCAGCCAGCCTGCCTGCTGCCCCCTCCTGCCCCCCACCCCCACCCCGGCTCCCTCCACTCTCTGCTCTTCCAGCCCAAGAAGGTGTGTGTGCGCATCTGTGTAAACTGGAAGAAGGAAGGCTCTGGAGTGGGAAAATGGGGTCAAGGAAAGTCCCCCTCCCCCACCTGGAGTTCCAGCCCCAGGTGACCAAGTAATTATTTACTAGGTCCTGCGGACAAGGGCCAGGAGAGGGGAGAAGGGGGTGGGGGGGGGGCCTTGCTTCCCAGAGACTCCCAAGAACCCTCCACCCAGGCTCACCAGCTTGGTGAGACTTCAGCCTTGGAATCGAGACACACCCCACCCCACCCCAACATTCCTCAACCTTCCCTCCATCTTAGGAGAAGAGAAGGGGACAGGTGCCCACTCCTTGGAAGCTCTGTGTGAAGGGTGCCCACCCACTTCACCGCTGGGCACCCAGACACGGCCGTGCCCCGCCCGGCTGACCAGCGAACGCTCTCCTGGAACCGCTGGTAGAGGGGACACTCCCTCACGAGGTCCCCTTTCTTCCATGGTCTCCCCAGGCCTTTCCCCAAAACTCTCGTGCCCTCCACCCACCTCCTCTCCTCGCCAGGCCTCCACTGCTTGCTTCACATCAGCCCTCGCCTTTTCTAAGGTCTCTGGGTTTTCCATGTCACCCCTTCGGGCCCCCTTCCCAGCCAGAGCGCTCCGCTCACCTCCTCGTAAGGGCTCCGTTTGGAAGTGCCAGGGGGCACGTAGCGCCCGTGGGTGTGGTAGGTGGGGTACTCGCTCATCGCATGGTAGGCATCACGGGTGGGGAAGATGTCCAGCTGCCCACAGTTCTTCCGGCGGCACTGACACACCGCCTGGGGGGGACGGCAGGTTAGGGGGGCCCCCGAGTTCCTTCCAGCAGGGGCACTCGGGTGAGGGCTGAAGACCGAGCACTTACCAGGGCAAGGAGATAGACGATGGCCAGCGCCACCAGAACACAGACCAGCACCAGCAGGGCGATGCCCCAGCCGGGCACCCCGGGCCCGGGCCCGGAGGAGGAAGGGAAGGACACTTCCTCCGCTGAAAGGAAAAGCAGTCGTCAGGGCAGTTTCCCCAGGGAGGCGACCCTCCGCTGCTACCCCTGGGGAGAAGCGGGAATCCGGGCGCTGGAGAGTGAGCGGCCCCAGAGGCAAGGACAGCGGCCTCACCGCTCACTCCTGAGACGTCCCAGTGGAATCTGTCTGCTCCGAGTTGAACGAGCCCTGCCTTGACGTTGTTGGCAGTGGTGGCGCCCTCTCGGAAAGCCAGGATGGATTCCACCCTCACAGATCCCGGCCTGCTCACGGGGAAAGGAGCGATTCAGGTGCAGTCCCGCTTCTGGCACTTCCCCCAACCGTAAGAGTACCCATAAGAGTACCGGTCCTTCCCCACAGTCATGACAACAGGCACCCACCCCAGACAGAGCCCACACCCAGAACTGTACCTGAACTGGATGTCAGAGGAGCCCAGAAAACTCTCCTGCTTATAAATCTGCAAAAACTGGGAAGGGGGGCGGGAGTAGGTGCTAAGTTTGGTGCTCGGTCCGAGCAGTTCTGAAGCTGCTGCGGAGGAGCGCGTGGAGGAAGGGCAGTTACTCACCAGTTCGGTAACGTTTCTCCGCAGCACCTGGTAATAGTTAGTGCTGGGATCTTCCAGGGAGGAGTTAAACGGGAGGTTCGAAATATGAAAGAGCAGGAAGAAGAAGGACATCCTCTGAATGGAAGAGGTGAGGGGCACTACGCTACCACCGGTGGTACTGGCTGTCGTCGTGGTTCTGTGGCTGGCAGGGGTGGTCGGAGTATCAGAGTGGTGGCTGGGAACTGAGGATGGAGTCCCCTGGCCAACTGGGGAGGTGGTAGCCTTGGCAGAAGTGCCCTTGTGTGGTAGAGTGGTGGCCGAGCTTGAGGCCGGGCTGGTGGTCAAGGAAGAGGTGGCACCATGGACTGGAGTGGTGGCTGAGCTTGAGGCAGAGCTGGTGGTCAAGGAAGAGGTGGCATTGTGGACTGGAGTGGTGGCCGAGCTTGAGGCAGGGCTGGTGGTCAAGGAAGAGGTGGCATTGTGGACTGGAGTGGTGGCCGAGCTTGAGGCAGGGCTGGTGGTCAAGGAAGAGGTGGCACCATGGACTGGAGTGGTGGCAGAGCTTGAGGCAGGGCTGGTGGTCAAGGAAGAGGTGGCACCATGGACTGGAGTGGTGGCTGAGCTTGAGGCAGGGCTGGTGGTCAAGGAAGAGGTGGCACCATGGACTGGAGTGGTGGCTGAGCTTGAGGCAGAGCTGGTGGTCAAGGAAGAGGTGGCATTGTGGACTGGAGTGGTGGCCGAGCTTGAGGCAGGGCTGGTGGTCAAGGAAGAGGTGGCATTGTGGACTGGAGTGGTGGCCGAGCTTGAGGCTGGGCTGGTGGTCAAGGGAGAGGTGGCATTGTGGACTGGAGTGGTGGCCGAGCTTGAGGCTGGGCTGGTGGTCAAGGGAGAGGTGGCATTGTGGACTGGAGTGGTAGCTGAGCTTGAGGCAGGGCTGGTGGTCAAGGGAGAGGTGGCACCATGGACTGGAGTGGTGGCTGAGCTTGAGGCAGAGCTGGTGGTCAAGGGAGAGGTGGTATCGGGGGCTGGGGTGGTGGCAGAGCTTGAGGCAGGGCTGGTGGTCAAGGGAGAGGTGGCACCTTGGACTGGAGTGGTGGCTGAGCTTGAGGAAGAGCTGGTGGTCAAGGGAGAGGTGGCATGGGGGCCTGGAGTGGTGGTCGAGCTTGAGGCAGAGCTGGTGGTCAAGGGAGAGGTGGTATCGGGGGCTGGGGTGGTGGCCGAGCTTGAGGCAGAGCTGGTGGTCAAGGGAGAGGTGGCATGGGGGCTTGGAGTGATGGTCGACCTTGAGGCAGGGCTGTGAATGGGGAGTGAGCTGCTGGTTGTGCTCACAGAACTTCTGTCAATGAACCTGGACATTGGGCTGCTTTGGGTAGTCACAGTCTGTTTACTTCCCGTGGGCCTTGTGTGGCCAGAGGTTGTAGGAACTATTGGGGGTGAGGTGGGGGGAAGATCTGTAAGAAATTGAGAATGAGGTTCAGGGTAAATCAGAACAAGGAGAAAATATGTCCTCTAGCATCTGGAGAAATAATGCTAGGAGGATTGGGGGGCCAGGCCCGAGTCAGCCCTCCTCCTCCTTCCAGCTGCAGCCTCCCTCTCTTCCCACACCCCTCTGCTCCCGGTTAGCCATCTCCACGCCTGAGATTTACCTGTCCTGCCACTCCCACTCCCACCCCCACCCTGGGCTTCTCTTCAGCCAATCACCTGCCCCTGGCACCCATTCTCCTGGGGGGTCGTCTCTGAGCCTGTCTCCTTTTCTCTGGCCCAGGCTAGGCCACCTGTCTGCAATTTCTGCCTTGTGGGGTGCCACCTGCCAGGAGACAAAACCCACAGAAAGGCTGTGCCGGGCGGCCCCTCCCCACCTGGCGCCCCTCACCTGAGAGCACTGGGACTAGCAGCAGCAGGAAGCAGAAAGAGGCCTGCATGCCTGGTGTCCTGGTGGCAATGACCCCGGTGGGGAGGGGGCAGAACAGATCCGGGCAGGCACTGCGTGTGAGGCGCAGCAGCACAGCTGCCAGGTTTTATCGGTCCTCCCCTCCCACCACCACCCGCCAGAGCAGGTGACAGGTGACAAAACCCCGCCCCTCCTTTCCCTACCTCATCTCTTCCTCCTCCTCCCCAACCATTCCTGTCCCCTCAGGTAGAGCACAGGGGCTCCAGTCATTCAACTCCCTGACAACCTGCCCTCCAGTTGGCCCCCCCTTTTCACCGACCACTCCCTGGCTCCAGAAGGCGGTGTGTGTGTGTGTGTGTGTGTGTGTGTGAGAGAGGGGGGTAGGGGGGGAGCCTGGGACCTGGGTCCCCAAGGCCTTAGTTTTAGCTCCAGAAAGGCGATAGAGAACGTGGGCCAGGTTAAGTGGGAAGTTCACCCTCAGCCCCCCACTCCACTTCTCCCGGGCCCTTGAAGCCCCACTCTGGGGGGGGAGCGGTCTGAGAAAAACGGGGGCGGTTTGGTAAGGAGTGGACCAGGGGTTGGTTTTGGCCCCCTCCCCCTCCACTTCCCGGAGTTGCCCCACCTGGCGAACCGCTCCCTGTCCCGTTCTGCAGTTCTGCCCCGAAACCCACAGCCCCGCCCCTGCCGGACTTTCCAGCCCACTGAGCTCCTTCCTGGCTTTCTCCCGAGAAGGAAGCGGGGAAGAAATGTCCACTTAAAGAAGGACAGACCGCCGGACTTGAGGGTCTTTCCTTCCCAAGCCCCCTCCCCCCTCCCCGCCCCGGGGAGCGGAGCGGCGGGCGCCCGTCAGGGGGCCAGGCTCTCCTGCCCTCTAGTGGCCACGCGGAGCCCCTCGACGCCTGGCGGGCGGGTTGGGAGCTGCCCGGGTGGGGGAGGTTGGTCGGCGGCGCTGCCTAACGGGGAGCCGAGAGAGGTGGCATCGGGGGCTGGAGGCACAGCGCCGCCGGGAGAGGGGCCTGTGGCTGGGACGGAGAAGGGGAGGAATGCAATGTGCCATCGACGAGAGGCTGGGAACTTGAGGAGGGGACTCGGGCGCGGGGTGGGGTGGGGGGGCGATGTCTGGAGGAAATGGCGCTAAGTGGGTGTGATTCGGGGGTATCTGGAAAAGTAGGCGAGGTGTGTAAGAAAGTACATCGGAAAAGTGGGGGGCGGTGGGACGGGTTACGTATTTAGGAGTCAGTTAACAGAATAGTATTGGGGGGGCCGTGAACTATCTTTTGGGGAGCAGAGTGGTATTTGGAGCAGCTAAGCACACGGTAAAAGTGTGTGAGGTTGCATAACTTCGGAGAACCGGGGTAGATGAAAGGACAGAAATATCTGGGACCAGAGAGGGATTCACAGCGGCTCATGGAGTTTAGGGGATCTGGCCTCAGCCGCAGGTGCTGGGTGGCGGTCTCGGCCAACGGAAGCGGCTACATCCGCGTTAGGAAAACAATTCCTAGCCCCAACGAATACAGGTTGAAAAGTTAACTTCAAACAGACCGGTGCGGCGGGAAACCGGGGACAACAGCTCTCCCCCGGGTAGGCGCGGCTTTGTGCGGCGCCGGCGGGACGTCAGCGCCCGATGCGGGTGGGAGGGGCGGGGAAGCCCAGACCCGCCGCCCGGAGAACGCGCGGGTATCTAGGTGGGCGGCCTCAAAACTTCAACCCTGGAGTTGCTAGGCAACAGCCTTTAGTTCAGTTGCTGGGATACGCGTTACCATGGTGACAGCTCCGCGCCGGGCAGTCGGAGTATTTAAAGAGCAAGCGCGCACAACGCCGGCGTCAGAAAGCGGCCTTCCGGGATACCAAAGTCGTCCCTTCGGCCTTCTCACCCCCCCCCCCCCCCCACCTCCCTTACCGTCCCCTTCACCCTCTTCCGGGCGTCAAGTCTCTCTGGCCTCCCAGGTGAGCTCAACCTCCCAGAGCGCTCCGGGTCCTTGGGCTGGTCCCGCTTTAAGCGGTGGGGAGCGGGATCCCGGGCCCCGGGCGGGCGGGAGGGACGGGACGCGGTGCAGTGTTGTTCTTTTCCCCGCCAATATTGCACTCGTCCCGGCCTCCGGCCCCTCCGGCCCCCCGGCCCCCCGCTCACCCCGAGCGAGCCAGCCCCAGCCCTCCTGGCTCTCGATCCTGGCCGACCTATTGACTGGAGTGTCGCTGCTGCCACCGTAAGTAAGTGGGGCTGGGAGGACTTGAACCCCCTCTGACCAGCACCTCACCCTTCACCTACCCAGCCCCATCCTTCACCTAACCCTCATCCAGCACCTGCCCCAAACTCAGCCAAACTTCCTCTAACTTCCATCCTACCAGCCCTCTCCCTTACCCTTCTCAGGATCCTTTTTCCTTGGTCACCACCCCGGAAAATCCCTAAAATAAGCAACTGCACTGGCTTAGAAAACAACTGGAACTTTATGGTAATATGCTGTTATCTTTCCTGGGGTTAGCGCCTGAGAAATGCCCCTTGAAAACTTCCCATCTCCTCAACAGTCACCACTCCTCTGGGGCTGAACTGCTTGGTGCCAGAGGAGGGGTGCATTTGGCTGAAGGGCTGTAGATTAGACCTGGGGGCCTCTGGGATGGATCCCAAGGCCAAAGGGTCTAAAATCAGGATTTTAAATCTGGTAGCCACCGCTTCACACTCTTCCAAGGAGCAGCTGCCTCCGGAATGGCTCAAAGTCCTCAGGAACTGTGTCTGAGGAAGGAGAAATGATTAAAGTCAAGGATGTGACTCTTCCCATGAGGGCATGAGAGGGCAGGCTGATGTGGGTATAGAGCCTCACCATTGCATCGATACTGGAGATTGGACCAAATGATGTTTTCTTGGGAGAAGCAGAATACACCAAGACGCCCCCCTCGCATGGATGTGTCAATGATCACCCCAGAATCCGCCACTAGCTGGGGACCCTCATAGAGCTTCACTCTGTCCAGGATAGGGGTTTCCGTTGGTACCAGGGTACCAGTGGGCACTGTGCCACCATGCTGGGGCCCTGCTCATCCCCAACCCCCCTTAGCTCACCAGGCCTGAGAGGAGGAAGGAAAGGGGAGGGAAGGGGGTGCTTTTCTCAGGCCTGGGGCCCCTGGCTCTTTGTCCAGCCCCCTTTGCATCTCAAAGCACCAGCCGCATTCCAAGCGAGGATTGGGTTGCCATGACGATGAACACAATGGGCTGGGGGGTGAAGTCACCCGCTTCCCAGGCTCTGGTCTACCCCTCCCTTATCCCTTGCCCTGGCGCCCCACAGCCCCAAGAACCTTAAAGGGAAACCAACCCAAGTGTCTGTTCCTCTCCCTTCCCTGTCATCCCCACCAACTAGGAAATGCGTTCGTGGACAAAGTGCTGAACCACGAGGCCCCAGCTCTGCTGTGAAGTTGGGGCTTGGTTTGCACTTCTGTAAATGAGGCCAGCCGCCTTGAGGAGGCAGGTTCGGGGTGACCCAGTGACAGGGCTGGAGGTGAGCTGCCTCTGCACAGACTGGCCCCGGCTCTGGAGGCTCCCAGAGATGCCCTCCTCTTACTGAGGGCAAAGGGAGCACCGGACAGGAAGGACTTGCCCACCACTGCCCAGGCTGCCTGATGCTAGGAAGAAAGCAGGGCTGAGGCGGCGTGTCTGGTGAGAGAGGAGATGGAGAGAAGTGGTCCCAGTCTGGGCCCACGGCACCACGGCACTGAGCTGAGGGGTCACTGGTGAGTCCCAGCTAAAAGGGAAGGAAGGCTGAGCCTGGGGTCCCTCAGCAGGGCTCAGCCTGTCCCCTCACCGAATGTAGCCAACTTGAGGCCGGTGCAGCAGCTGCCAGCGGTAGGAGGTCTTGTCACGCCAACCTACGTTCCGTGGGTCAGTCCACAGCAGTCGTACCTGATCAGGGGTGTGGCCAGTGTGCCACAAGGCATTCCGGAGGTGCTCACCGGGGCCAGACACTGACGTCACTGCCTGAAGGGCATTGGCAAAGACAGTGGGTCAACCACAGGCAGGAACCAAACGCGGGCGGAGGCAACAGGTTGGTGAGTACGGGTGGGAAAGGAAGTCCAGGTGGTCAGGAGAAGGTTCTGAAGCCCAGGGGCCAACCCCCAGACCCAACGTCTGAGTACGAGGGTTCCCACTCAGGAAGGGGGAGAGGTTTGGGGAAAGGGTCCTGGACTGGAGAGTCTGGGCAGCTGTAGGACCTTGAGCTGCAGCCCAGGCTGGGCAACAGCCCGGAAAGGCGTGGCCTGCCAGTAGGTCTGCTCCGTCTGCTTCCACATGACCACGTAGAAGCGGCCGCTGTCCTGGTAGCTGAAGAGGAAGCCTGCGTAGTCGTCATCGGTGACGGTGTTCACATGGAAGGTGCCTTCAAAGTCCACGCCATTGAAGGCTGTGTATCCTGGGGGGTGAGGGGGGGGTGTCAGGATCAGGGCAGCAAAGCTACTAGTGGCCCATTGTGCACTGGGGGTGGGAAGGGATGCCTGCTGTATGTGGCCAGCTTATCCCCACCCTCTGCCCCTGTCAGATTCCTCTATTTGGAAGGCATGGAACTGGGTATCCCTCACATACCAACTGCCAGGCCAGGGTCACTGTTCATGGTCTGAACGATTTCCATGCCCTGGTGATGGGCAAATAAAGAAGACAGACCTGATCCAGGTGCTCTACCCCACCTGGGCCCTGCCCGGGGGTTTGGTCTGACAGCACCCACCCAGCCCACTGCCCTGGTACCTGGTTGAGCACGACCCAGTTTGGATCAATCTGAGCATCCCCTTCAGGGTCCAAGACGACGGTCTGATAGGCCCGAAAGTCTGTGAGTGTTACCTCCGCACTTTCAGGGCACACATCCAGGGGGTCGACCACCGCATCATTGTCAAAGTCATCCTCACACACATCGCCAATGCCATTGCCTGGGAAGATCAGAGCTAGGCACTCAGGAATGCCGTGGCCACTGCCACCAGCTAACACTACCACCTGAAACTTCAGTGATGAGAGAGAATCACTGATCGGCTGCCTCCTCCATGCCCCGCACTGGGGATCAAGCCCGCAGCCTAGGCATGTGCCCTTGACTGGGATTGAACCTGGGACCCTTCAGTTCTCAGCCCGACGCCCTATCCACTG